TGGTACAACTGGTACACAAAATTAAAGGGAGAGGGGGGGGGGGGGGGGGTAATTCCACTGCCACCCCTCCCCCTTCTCAAAAATTTAAAAATATGAGAAATTTTCAAAAACAAAATGGATTTCCCTGAAATAAAAATGAAATCAAAGTTTCAAAATGTATTTATTTTGACTGCATAAAAAAATGAGATTTAATTTCACATTAGTTTATACGAATTTATTTTAGTTTGTGTTGGAAGCTATAACACTCTCAAAAACATTCCTAGAACCAACCAGTACTAAGCAATGAATGTAGTTTCTTGCTCAAAGAAAACAAAAGCTTGCCCCTGACAGGATTTAAACCCATGTGGTCAGCAATCCTTAGATTACTAGTCTGACGTGTTCACCACTCAGCCACACCGCAACAAGATTCACATTAAACTTGTCAGGTATTGGGCAAACAAAAGATGGTCGGATAATATGCATATCTCATAAAATCTTATACAATTTGCTTTAATTACTGCTTTAAGATCTATAAATCAAGGATTTTTTATTTACCCTAATTTCATCCATTTTCTCTGCATTGCTTTAATACATGAATTCACCCAAGACGTCTATGGTAACATTTTTAGCATATTGAACCATACAATTTAAAATAACATCCCTTCAGCTTAAAGTTTCGGTAATAATGTGACACAGGCAAAATTGATACAAACTATTTCTGTAGATCCCAATAACATTGTTACTTGTCGGGCCGTAATAAGACTAGGAATGGAGTTCTCTAGGTTTTAACTTGATGTTTTACAAATGTACAAAAATTAGAAATTCGGTGGAAATACACCAACACAATCTGTTTCCTCTAGATCAGTTCCAGTTCCTATAAATTAAAAAGCCCGTCATGACAAAAACAAAGGGTTTGTACCAGAAATTGTCCAACACCGCACATCCACGAGCATGTCCTGGATCGGATCCAGTATTTCCTATCTAGTTCCTCTATCATTGTAAAAGAAAGTTTGGTAAGCGAACAGCATTATCCTAAAAGCACTGCGCGGTATGCCAGGCTGGGTCTGGAATCCATGCTGGTAAGCAAACCATTATGTTGGGTTTGGTCAAAGATTACACTTAATTCAAACATTATCATAACAAACATGCATATTGTTTTTAATTCTTTCCCTATCCAATTTCATTTGTTTATGAATGAATACAATGTAACATGCATACAGCTTTTTGAATTACACTTTTTCCACTGCTGGATATAGGAGGTTTCCAATAGCAACCAAAAACAATAATTTCCCCCAAAATAAGACACTGTCCATATAAGTCACTAGAGCCAGCAGCTTAATTATTTTTATCACACTGATAATAAATCTAATGGACAGAAAAATGTCTATAGATCACCTCTGTTATATAAATTGTACCCTGCATGTAAATTTGCAATTACATTTAAAGTTTTATCAAATGTTGCATTTTTAGTGAGTTGTTGGTGTTTGATATCAGATTTCCCCTTTTTCTGAATACTGGCATTATTTGTTTCCCCCATAAGAAAACAACAGGTTTGTTCTGAAAATTCCAAAAATCAATATTCATGAGAAATAGAAATATTGAACCTGTCTACTGTTGATAGTTATTTTTTAATATTTTTTTTGTGAGATATTTATACATGTAGCTTTTATATGACTGTAACTTCTGTAATATCTACACTTTTAAATTATTTTATGAAGCAGCTCAAAGTCCACTTCAGTAATCACTGTCACTCCTATACTGGAAACATTGTTACAATTATAAACACAAACACCAAGATATCCTGTCATGGGTTTCCACATCCTGTGTTTTCCAAAATCATTATTTTAAACAAATTATTCAAAGTTTACATTTACATAATAACATTAAAATATTGATTGTGTTGTTGAATATCATTACCTTTTTATCAGTCTCTGTCCAATCACCAGTCAACATTCTCTCAAAAACATCACTTGCCCGTATTAGAATTATTTTGTGAGCACAAAACTTCCGTCCGCCAACAACCAAAGTGATATCGCTCAGTTTCTCATTGTTACAGAAACTTGCCTGTTCTTGAAGCAACAATCTCTCATTCCCAAAGCAATTGATTCCTTCTGGACTGTTTAGAACTTGATTAAGATAGGCAGGTGAAGCATAGTTCTCCTGGGAATTGGGCGTGGATTGTGCAGAGCTCAAGACACTCGAGTCATTTTGTGGACTGAGAACTTCTGGGAGTGATAATGGAGGAAGCCTAGGTGGCGAGGCCATTGTCTTTAGGAAAGGGATTCTGAAAGATATAAAATGTCAAAGCCCTGGATAAACATGTTATTCAAATAAATAAGAAGACATTTTGTAGTCAAACAATATTGCATGTTTCCAATACAAAGTCTGGAAAATTTTGACATCTCAAATATTAACATTTCCACCCAAAAATGTAAAACTATATCAAATCAAATTATAAAGAAAATGAACTTGCCAATAATTGGTCTTTGAACTACATGTTTGCATCTCACTTTAAAAACCATTTTGAAAGCTATCTAAATGATCATACAGTCATACTACAAAACACATTTGAAAAATTCCACAATTTTTTTTGGCTAGTTGTAAAAACAGCACGCAATTGGAAATGAAGTATGACATAAACACCTTTATCACATAAAACGCGGCACAGGAATGTAATAAAGCCATTTAATAAAAACAATATTACACTATTGTAATAACACTTTGACGTGACATCATTTGTGCTATATAGAAACTTAGCGTTAAAGCGCGATAATGTTAGCGTTACACTATAGGCGCGTCATTTAAATTACTCTTTTTAACAGTTTACTGTTCTTATTTTATATATGTGATAAAAAGAATATTATATTCCTGTAGATTCCATACTAAATTTATTGAACTCGTTGAATAAAACAAGAGCTGTCACAGGAGAAAGCGAAGCTCGACTAATAAAATACTGGACGCAGTAAGGAGGACAAAACTATGAAAGAAAAATAAATTATGCATAATTATGTATTAAGTTACAGTAAAAAAATAACATTTGTTAACATAAATTCCAAGATCAAGGGGAATAATTCTAGAAATAGTCATGCTAGAGTTATGGACCTTGCCACACAACATTTGTGTAATGATAAGAAATATATATTTGAAGTTTGAAGTAGATACCTTAAAAAATAAAGAAGTTATTATATTTCTTAAAGAAAATCCTAAGTTCAAAGAGAGATAAATCTGTAAATATTGCTGAAAGAGTTATGAACATTGTCACATAAAATGTAATTGATGATAAGGAATAAGTATTTGAAGTTTGAGGTAGATACCTTTAAAAATAAAAAAGTTAAAATAAAAAATAACATTTTTCTAGCAAATAAATCTAAGTTTATGGGCAGATAATTCTTGCAATATTGGTGCTAGAGTTATGAACCTTGTCACATAAGATGTGGATGATGATAACGTAAATATATTTGAAGTATGAAGTTGATCCCTTTAGAAATAAATAAGTTACAGTAAAAAATAATATTTTTTATGGAAAATTCTAAGTTCAAAGGGAGATAAATCTGAAAATATTGGTGCTAGAGTTATGAACCTTGTCACATAAGATGGGGATGATGATAACGTAAATATATTTGAAGTATGAGGTTGATCCCTTAAGAAATAAAGAACAAACAGTAAGAAATAGTATTTTTTGAGGAAAATTCTAAGTTCAAGGGGAGATAAATCTGAAAATATTGGTGCTAGAGTTATGAACCTTGTCACATAAGATGTGGTTGATGATAAGGAACATATATTTGAAGTTTGAAGTTGATACCTTAAGAAATGACAAAGTTATAGTGAAAAATATTTTACTGCACCAAAACTTAATTAATCTAAATCTGGACGCGGACGCCGGGGCGAGTAGGACAGCTCTCCATATACTTCGTATAGTCGAGCTAACAATATTATGTTAGCCAGAGGCTCACATAATATGATTTTATTCAACTCATTCAATAAATTTAGTATTAAACTACACTCATTCAATATCCTCTATTTATATAATTATTTTTATATTTTGTAAACCAAGTTAATTGAACTCGACAGAAATGGCATTTTTCAGTGTAAGAAATCTCTTTCCTTGTAGGTTTTTACCATTAACTCTTAGAACCAGTCAAGAGCCAGGCTAGCCTGTATATGCTTACAATCTGACCACTCACCAGGCTCTATAATGTTGGCTGACTAACTTTGAATTTCAATCTTGATACCGGCAACATTGATTGACAGATCCAAAAATGGAGGCTGGTAACATGATACTTACCATATTTATTCACACTTTTGGACTTAACTAGGTGTTTATCATTATTCAAGGCATTTTCCAACACATTTTTAAACCTTTTCCTCAATTAAGTAGCAAGATTTCAACAATATGATATATTAAAAAATAATGGCTATACTGCGATAATAATCATAATTCAAAGGGCCCTACACAGCCAACCCATTTAAATAAAGACTGGAAAAACACTGAAAGTAAATTTATATCTAACATTAATGTTTGGCATAACATCAGACACCATATAATGTCTTTTTTTATCTAAATAGTAAAATTACATTGTTCATAACAAGTTAAACTTTCATACAACATCATATCATAACTACTTTTATTCATGAGACCATGATAGAAACCATGGGCTCCCTTTCTTGTATACACCATGGCTTATTTTATTTTGCAAACAGTATGTCGAAATATTTTTGCACATTATTACAACCTGGTCATATATCTTGAACATTGAACTTGTTTTCCACTATTTTAACAACGTTAAAAAAAACTCACTTAAGAATGAAAATTCCATAAAGATAACAATTAATGTATGCTTCTCTTTGATGTGAGAGGAATGAAATGGTTTTTGACACTGTTTTGCACTTTTATTTCATGCAGAGATATGGGCATAATTCTCTAAAGAACTGCTTTTATTTGATGCTGAGATTCGGGCATAATTCTCTAACAAACTGTATCTATTTCATGCTGAGATACGGGCATAATTCTCTAACAAACCGCTTTTATTTTATGCTGAGATACAGCCATAATTCTTTAACAAATTGCTTTTATTTCATGCTGAGATACGGGCATAATTCTCTAACAAACTGCTTTTTATTCATGCAGAGATACGGGCATAAATTCTCTAACAAACTGCTTTTATTTGATGCAGAGATACAGCCATAATTCTCTAACGAACTGCTTTTATTTCATGCTGAGATACAGCCATAATTCTCTAATAACCGCTTTTTATTTCATGCTGAGATACGGGCATAATTCTCTAACAAACCACTTTTTATTCATGCAGAGATACGGGCATAAATTCTCTAACAAACTGCTTTTATTTGATGCAGAGATACGGGCAAAATTCTCTAACGAACCGCTTTTATTTTATGCTGAGATACAGCCATAATTCTCTAACGAACTGCTTTAATTTCATGCTGAGATACAGGCTGAGACACAGGCATAAATTCTCTTATGAATAAAACACATGCATTTTGTCTCTTCACCTCTGAAAGTATTTCATCCAGCCAATTTAATGACCACATGAATATAACAGTTGCTAATGTAAAATTAGTCTTCCGAACAGAGAGAAATTCAGGATCTATTTTTTTGGGGGGTTCACATGTTAGAATCTAAACGTGTCATACCCATTTACTTCATGGGCAGATAGGCTTATCATACCCAAGCAGTTTTCAGACAAAAAATCATTGATGTGACCTTGAAGAAACTACAGGTTCTATATGATAATTTGACCAACAAAATTTAAGTTGCACTTTCTTTGCAATGCAAATCTGCAGTCCATGTATATTTTCGATATATTAATGATCTAAATTATGTTTGCTATTTATCTTTCATATTAAAACATTGTCTTTCAAATATTTTCTATGAAAATCTAGGTGTCAAGTTATCACCTGTATATTTGTAGTTACACTTCTTAAAAAGAATCAAAAGAGCAGAGATATCTAGAGCTGTCATTGATTCAGTGCAAAGCATATCAACGATATATCAATATCAAGTAACTAAAATCAACGATACACCGATATATCGATAATATCCTATACTCACTTGTCTGTCATTCATTTTCATACCTGTTTCAATGATTTCAGTCAAAAACATGTTCTGTACAGTGTCCACTGCATGATTTTTTCTAGACAATATTATTTGTCACCATTGCTATGAAATAAATCCACTATATAACAAAAGCATCACATTTGATATAAATAATTGTTTCTGCATATATTTTGGGTGAATTGTATAATTTCTAGACATTTAATTTATAAGTCAAATGTATCGATTTTTTAAAATGTGTATCAATTATTGATCGACAAAAAAATATCAACGATACATCGATATTGTCGATATCGATGACAGCTCTAGAGATATCTGGTCTACTTGATACCCATGACAGATGTAATTGATGCTAATTTTCTTAAAATCTATAAATAGTAACCATCTTATTTAAACATGTAATGACCAAACAAATTATTAATTATGATAGTTGTCTTTCTAAATCGTTTTAATCAAGAGACTGAGAAATGTGTTACTTATGGATTATCTACATCTACATCTGTATGTTAAACTGTCAAACTTGACATTTCTTTAATTATAGATTAGATTACAGGAAAATGACTAACCCCACTAAATGCCCGTATTAAATGTATGAAGTAAGCATCTAACACGTCATATCACGGTATTAAGAAGGAATAGATAAACATGGCAATTTGTGTGTTGTTTTTTTTTAAGTAACGGGATAAGCAAAAAACTCAAGACTCCTTATTCAAAATAATAGTTAGTTTTAATATTCGGGGGGGGGGGGGGGGGGGGGGAGGGGGAGGCAGGGTCTACACTCTAAGTGTCTGTGGGTTCTCCAAGTAAGTGTCTGTGGGTTGACACAACAACTTCAGGCTGTTGAAACAAAACTTGACAATTTGGACACACTAAATATTACTTAAAAAATCTGCAAATATTATACAAGCGTATAGATCAAGAGGCTAAAAGGGATAAAAAAAATCTTATATTCAGAGGCATTCAGGAACTTTATCTGAATGAGAACTGTGAAGATAAGCTTGTGTACTTCCTTGAGCAGTATTAAGAATTTAGATATGGTCCAAATATTTAGACGTAACCGCGGATTTGAAGCTATTTTTTACATTGGTCAAATCCGCCTTCGCATTTCGGATAAAAGTAACACTGTAAAAAAAAAAAGAAAAATGCGATGTCTTTCAATGAAGGACTATATCAAGATATTGATACCACCAACATCTGTGTTCACTGTTGTATACATCAAATAACTTGAAATAAGGCAAATAAATCAAAACTTTGATACATTAAAGTGCTTTTATATTTCACTTATAAGCACATATTACAATCTTAAATGCACGACTACAATTTTCTACGACACAATGCTGTTAAAATTTAAATGTAACAAACAGTGACAATTTACTCAGTACATGTATATTTTTGATTCCTTGTTTTTATTTTACAAAGAAGCAAATTATATCAGCGGGCTTTTTCCTTAAAATCAAGAGACGAAAGCCTCTTAAACTGAAAGTGAGAAAAACGCTGCCTTTTTACCTAAATAACTGAAATACTGCACTTGAACATGGTTTCGGAAAGTAACAAAATTTTTGTGACATATGGCGGTTAATTTGAAAAGGGACGTAACTAACTTGTAGACAGGATAAATTCCGTTTCTTTCCCGTCAATGTTTCCACGGTGGTCTACGAGTAATTATTTTATTCTGATAAAACGTGTTAAATAACGTGATAAAATAATTGTGTATTATGTATTTTGTAAAATGTATTTGTATTGTAAAATATTTGTTTGTATTGTAATGTCTCATACTTATTTTATTTGTTACAGGTTTTATTCTTTATAGAATAAATCTATAAACGTTTCCAAGTGTTTCTTGTTAAAAACCCCACCACTACAAATTGGCTCCCCGACGATATAATTATTGTATATTAGGGTGTTTTATTTTTTTATGCAGTCATTTTAAATTTCATATAGGTCCTATGTATAAAGGTATATACTATGTATTTATTATTTTCAAGTAAAATTAACAACTCTACTGTATTGCATTATTTCTTTATATTTTACTGTTTAACTATTGCAAAATAGTTATAGAAGGGCAGTATATCTTAAATAATATAATATATTTATGTCGTCATATAAATATACAGTGTATTGCATTTTTGTTTTTCAAATTTATTATAATGTTATTTTTTTCATAAATCCAGGTTTCATTTATAATTGTTTAAAAAAATGCCGGTGTCATTTTTAACTAGAGGGGGGAGTGTGTAGATAAGGTTAAATTAAGCCAAGTTATTTTTTTAAAATGTTTACGGTAGTTATTTCCCTTATAGGCCAAACCAAATCTATTGTGGTGTTATGTGTTCATGTTTGTCTTTGTTCCTTTTGTATGGGTAATTAAACTGGTTTTGCAAGTTAAGTAATGAATAATTGGTTTTGGTATGCAAGTTATTTTTAAATAATTTGGTTCTGGAATAGCTAATATTTCTTGGTAACTAACCACTCCTTTCATTGCATTCAAAGCAGTAACATATCGTACATTTAAAACATATTATTTCTTTATAAAAATATTAATAAGTTTATCATTATTCATAATTATTAAATTAAATCTCATCTATATAAAGCCTGGTATGTATATTTGTATATATTTATTTGTAAAATTGTTTTTATTGTAATGTAAATTGTTGTGTAATAATTGTGTATTATGTATTTTGTAAAATGTATTTGTATTGTAAAATATTTGTTTGTATTGTAATGTCTCATACTTATTTTATTTGTTACAAGTTTTATTCTTTATATTGAGTCACGTGATAACATGGCGGACATACATTTTTTGATAATCATAATAAGAGTAAAAATAAATTGATACACGGAGTATTACCAAATATTGTGATGGATTTTGACTTTGATATCTTAACATGTGATTAAGTACATTCATTCGGAGTATTCTTCTTTTAATATTGACTTTGTGGAGTATAAAAACTAAATTTTCAAGTGATGATCGTTGGCGGTTTTTTTTGAATATCTTCTTCGATGGGCAGAAAAAAAACGTACATTATCACAAGCGTCTCCAAATTATTCGATCGAACAATCTGGTAAACGCCTAACTATGTCAGAACAGAGTCCAGTATCACCATCAGCAAGTTTCGTATCACCAGTAGCACAAGTACCGGGTATTCAGGTCAGTTTTTACCCCCACATACCCAGTTTATGACCCCACCTCATTATGCCTCGCAGATGCCACAATCCAATATGCCTATTAATGTTATTTTAGAAAAAACTTGAGGCTTTGGATAAAAGATTGAACAAATTAGACACTATCGAAAGTCAGATTAACAATTTAACACAGAAAATGGGGTTGATGGATCAACGTGTTTCGACAATTGAAAGTAAAATTCAGACACATAACAGTAAATTGATAGAGATTGAAGCTAGTAGAAATTTTTGACGCTCAGACATGTGATGAAATCTTAGCAAAACAACATGATTTAGATAAACAGTTAAAAGCGGGAGTTGAGTCTAACAATAAACTGATGACGTCATATGAATCCTTAAAGCAGGAGAACCGCAGATTAAATGAGGAAGTTATAGATTTGCAGACTAGGTCTATGCGTGATAACCTGCTATTGTTTAATTTCGATGAATGCACCAACGCTGAGGCCCGTAGAGAGGAAAACTGCTGTGATACCATCTACACTTTCTGTGAGAAGGATTTGGGAATTGTGGACGCTAGATCTAGAATTAAAATTGACAGGGCACACCGACTGGAAAATTCATGTCTAATAAAAAAAGACCTATTGTAGTCAAATTCAATCACTCCCGGACAAATCGGAAATTAAGCAAAAGATTTATGATAAAAAAGAAATGATCAATATCAAATGCAGTGATCAATACCCTAAAGAAGTTCAGGATCGCAGAAAAAAATTAATTCCGCTTCTATTAAAAGCTAGAGAGGAACACAAGGAGGCTGTTTTACGGTTTGATAAACTGTACATAAACGGGGCTTTGTACCGAGGAGCGACGGAGGATGATCGATATTAGGACAGCAAGGAGCAATTGAAATTTCTCCTATGGAATACACAAGGGCTTGTAAATAAACTTGATGACACTGATTTTTTGAATTATATTAACGAGTTTGATTTTTTGCTTTTTACCGAAACATGGAATTCAAAGATTTCGAATATTGATATTGACGGTTTTTGTTCATTTTCATGTTACAGGCCAAAGTTTAATAAGAAAGCTAAACGTTATAGCGGAGGTGTTATTATCTATTATAAATCAATATATTACAAGAAAATTGAAGTAAGTATTAACCATAATGGTATTGTTTGGATTAAGTTACTTAAACAATATTTTGGAACTCTTAATGATATTTACATGTGTACGTGTTATATTCCTCCTAGTGATTCGAACGTTTACAGCAACGTAGCATCTAGTTTATATAACTTTGACTTTTTTGATCAGCTGAATAATGACATACGTAAAATATAAAATTTTGGGTGACATATACGTTACAGGTGATTTAAATGCGAGGACAGGTCAACGACCTGATTTTGTAGAAAATATAAACTTAGACCGTTATGTTTATATGCCTGAGGACTCGGATCAGTGTAATTTACCTGCACGAGTTTCGCATGATAGTCATGTAAATAGTTTTGGTTTAAAATTACTATCGTTATGTAAAGAAAATAGCATTTATATTGTAAATGGTCGTCTCGAAAATGGTTTATTTACATGTTACAGTGTTAATCGTGGCCGTAGGGCTGCTAGCGTTGTTGATTATTTGTTAACCACTAGTAATAATTTTTCATTGATTTCTAACTTGAAAGTTAAGGATTTACCTGAATTTTCTGATCATTGTCCGATTGAATTTAGTTTACATTGTGATAATATGTTTTTTTATCAGTATGATGTGTTAACTTATGATAAAATTTTATGGGAAGATAATGATAATAATTTATTGTATAATACCCTTGAGGAAAATAAACACTTATTTGAAAATATTATGCATAAACTTGAGGCTGAGGAAAAAGATGTAAATTCGACTATTGATGATCTATCTAAAGTTATTTTTGATATATCTTTCAAGCTACATGGTAAAACATTTAGCATTAAACCAAAAAATAATGTCAAAAAGAAGTCTCTCGGGTTTGATTCTAACTGTAAACATGCTAAAAATTCTTTTTATTGTGACAAAAGAGCTTTTAAAGCTGTCCCGTCTGATGAAAATAGAGACAGATTTTTGCATAGTCGAAAACATTATACTTATACTAAGAGGAAGGCAAGAAGAGATTTTTGTTACACTGAAAAAAATAAATTATCAAATTTAAGTAAACACAACCCGCGTCAATTTTGGAAATATATTAATAAATTTAAAAATAAAAGTAAGCCAGATTCTTCTGATATAAGTATTCATGAATTTGCCGAATATTTTAAGAGTTTATCTAATTTGAATCAAAGTGATTCTGTGTTTCATGATGATACCCCTCTTCGTAATGAAAATGTCATTATAGATGAACTTGACTGTCTTTTACTGTTGATGAGGTTTCTAGAGTAATTAGTAGTCTGAATAGGCATAAAAGCTGTGATTATGATAAAAATGTTGCTGATTTTTTTTATTGATTCTAAACACTTTATTTCACCATATTTAGTAGTTATTTTTAATAAAATCTTCGATTCAGGTATTATTATCCTGATGCTTGGAGTAAAGGCGTGATAATTCCTATTTTTAAAAAGGGAGATGAAGCTAATCCTAGTAATTATAGGGGAATCACTTTAACAAATGTTGTGGCAAAAATATTTTCTATCATTCTACGAAATAGAATTAACAAATGGTGTGAATCTAATGATGTTTTTAACGATTCACAATTTGGCTTCAGATATAAACATAGTACAAGTGATTGTATATTTTATTACATACATTGATTCAAAATATTTTATTTAACAAATCTAAATTATTTTGTGTTTTTATAGATTATGAAAAGGCGTTCGATACTGTTGTTCGTGAAGCTTTGTGGATTAAATTTATGTCAATCTAATATTAGCTGTAAAATCATTACAATGTTGAAATCTATTTATGCAAATGTTAAAGCATGCGTTAAATTGTCTTCGAACGTAAATATGTCAGATTTTTTTTGATGTCAGTATTGGTTTTAAAACAAGGGGAACCACTCTCGCCTTTACTATTTATTTTGTTCCTCAATGATATTAATACTTGTTTAGATTTAAATAATCTATCGGAGGGTGATTTGAACCAGTTATCAATGTATATGTTAATTTTTGCTGATGACATTGTTTTATTTACGACGAATGCAGCCAGCTTGCAAGCCCAACTTGATTGCATTTATCAATACTCGATTAAATGGGGCCTTAAGATAAACACCAAAAAGTCCAAAGTTTGTATTTTTGAAAAAAAGAAAACAATCTAATTCTTTTGAATGGTTTATAAATGGTGAAAAATTAGAAACTGTAGATAATTTTTGTTATTTAGGTGTAAATTTTATTTACACTGGGAATATGAAAAATGCTGTTAAGGTGCTCTCTGACCAAGCTCTCAAAGCATATAATTGCCTCTTGTCATTATTTACTAGAAATAAATCTTGATATCAAA